GCGCCCGCAGCGCGGGGCGCCCCGCCGCCCGGGCGGCGGTGACCGCCCCCCCTTCGGCCGAGTGCGCCGCCCGCCCGCGGCCCCCGCAGCGCCCCGCGGCCGCGTGCGCGGCGGCGCGCCGCAGCAGCCGCCGCCCGCTGCCGGCCACCTGTCTGGACGCCCGACATGGGCACGGAAAGAATGGGCACAATGCCCAACAGCAGTGCCTGTTCCTTGTGAACCGGGTTCGCTGTCCACGCCGCCGCGGCCGGCGTTCCTTTGAGACAGGAGGCCGCCTGCCCAACAGCGGCCGCTGTCGGTTCGGGACAACATCTGCTGTTGGGCGTTGTGCCCATTCTTTCCGTGCCCATTTCGGGCGTCCAAAACCTGGGCCGCGGCCGGCCAGCGCGGCGGTCCGCGCCCGGGCGCACCGCCGAGCCGCCTTTCCGGGCGGCGGTCCGCGGACTGGCGGCCCGGCCGCGGCCGCGCCGCCGCGGCGGCGGCGGCGGCTCGGGCACGATCGGGGCTGGTGCGAGAAGATCGGGGGTGGACAGCACCCCCAACAAAGACACCTCCCTGGTCAGGCCAGGAAGGCCTCCACACCGATCCTGGGCCCAGGGTGGGCCTGGCCGGGGTCGGTGCGGGTGCTCCGTCGGCGCCCTCGCACGGTGGGCCGCAGAGAGAGAGAGAGAGAGAGAGAGAAACCCTCGCTGCGCGGCTGGTGCAGGTTAAGGTCATCGGGGGCGGACAGAACCCCCAACAGTGACACGTCGATTAGTGAATTGCCCGTTTTCGTTTCTCGAGAGGGCACCGCGGCCGTTATTTTCCAGGCTTGCGCCCGCCAGGTTTGGGCCTCAGGTCGTTTTCACAAAATCACGTTTTACTAAAGGGAGGTCTGTCCATCCCCGAGAAGAGCAGGGGCACCTCTTTTTCAGGCGATCGAAAAGCAGGCATGGATCAAGGGGGCGTGGATTAGCGACGGGTCCCGTTTCCATGAGACATCGCGGCTTTTCGCCGCCGAACGAGGCGGCACCGGCCGCATTTTGGGGAGGGCGCCTCCCCCGATCCATGAATTTGGCGACCGCGCGCCAGATCCATGGATCTCCTAATCCATGTTTGCGCGGCCCCGACTTTAGGGCGGGAGTCTGTGCATAGGCTTCCCCGATGGGGTCGGAGTATGCTTAAGTCGGGCCCGCTCGTCTACAGGAGGAGTATTCAAAGATAAGAAAGAAACAGTCTGAGGATATGTGTTCCATGTTTTTGGGGGGCATTTTCGACTATTTTTCAATATTTGCATTTTTCCTCCAAAATTCTGGGTGGCCCAAAAGGGGGTCCAGCTGAAAGGGGGTGGTGCAATAGCTTTGGGACAATTGTATTGCAAACGTATTGCGCCGGAGACTTGTATTGCATTGTATTGCAGGTAATGCATTGCGCGCGAAAGTACAGCAATACATTTGCGCCCCGAAATGTATTGCACGCCCCAAATGTATTGCAACCCAACAAATCTATTGCACCAAATCTATTGCACCACCCCCTTGTCGCTGGAACCCCTTTTGGGTCAACCCGAAAAATCCGCCCGTAGGGGGACATGCTCGACCTGAGAGCAGCTGGGGTCCGAGGGTCGCGCACGTGGCTCGGCGTGGAGCCCGATGTCTCCGCGATGGCGTCGCCGATGCACCGCCGATGCACCGCCGATGCACCGCCGATGCATCGCCGATGCATCGCCAATGCATCGGCGACGCATCGGCGCGATCCTCTCACCCCATCGACTCGGATTAGAATTAGGGGAACAAAAAGTGGCATAAACATAAAAACTCGGAGGTCCGCGCGGATTTCTCGGATCGGCGCTGGACCCCCCTCCCTGGCGCGCGGAGCGCGCCAGGGGCGGCGCCGGAGGCGCCGCCGGGGGGCCCCAGCGCCGATCCGAGAAATTCGCGCGGACCTCCGAGCTTATGTTTATGCCACTTTTTGGTTCCCCTAAGAAGGTTCCAACCTACTTTAGCCTGGGCCACCAGAAATAATTGAAATAATAAGGAGCACGAAGAACGCGCCGAAGCTGGAGGGTGTTCACGTGTCGGGCTCTGGGAAGCGACACTCGATCGACACCGTTTCGACACTTGTCTGGGTGCTCGAAATTATTTCTGGCATGTGGTCCTGAAGTACGATGGGAGTAACATAAGACTCGGACCTCATCAGGGAGGCCTTTTGGAGCCTGTCTTGTTTGTTCTGGGCATATGACGGCCGTCATCTAGAGGAAGGAAGGGGGACGATGACGTCACGTTTCGCGCCGGCGGCGTCTGGGAATCCCTAAGAATGGCCGAGGACGAGTAGCAACAACATTTAGGTGGCGATTTGCACCACAGCGCCTGTGTACACAGTGCCTGCGTGCAACACAGCGCCTGTGTACACCACAGCGCCTATGTACACCACAGTTGCCGCGTGCAACACAGCGCCAGTATGTGCCACAGTGTCTGCGTGCACCACAGCGCTTGTGTACACCACAGCTCCTGCGTACACCACATCAGCCGTGCGCAACACAGCACCAGTGTACACCAGAGTGCCCGCGGACACCACAGCGCCTGTGTACACCACGGCGCCTGTGTGCACCACAGCAACCGTGTGCAACAGATCACCGTTTGGGTATCGGAGGTTGGGGGGTGAGATCGAAGTGGAACGGAGAGCCCCCCTACCGGGAAATCGATTTAGGTTTCGTGTTCGTGCGCGCCGTGCGGGCGAGGCGAAGCTGCGTGGGCGGGCGAGAGGAAAGTCTCCTGTGGCTGAGGCGCGGCCGGACCACATGATTCTCCGCCGGGCGGCCGGTGGCGCGCGGTGTCCCGCCGGTGTCCCGTCGGTGTCCCGTCGGTGTATCGATGATGATTATGATGATGATTATGATGATGATGGTAATGATGATGATGAGATGATGTTGATGATGGCGATGATGATGTTGATGCGGATGATGATGATGATGATGATGACGTCGATAGTGATATCGATTGTGAGATCGGCAGTGAGACCGAATGAGACAGCGAATGAGGTCTTCTCTCAGGTTCTCCTCCACCACGCACAGTGTTGCGCCGCTTCCGGGGCCGATCCACGGTGCAATGTCGCGCCGCACCGAGGCCCTTGAAGGACGTAAAGAAGGCCCCCGTATCTTGATTATTGTTTCTGGAGAGCCCTGCTCGCGTTCGGGCCCGTGCCATCTGATTAGGGACAGAGCAAGAGGTAGATCGAAGCTTTCCGCTTAGCGGGGTTCGGCTCAAGCAGGGTACCTCGTCCTTGCCGCGCCACTCCCGCACTCGTTTTGATCCGCCCAGTACAGGCTAGGCTTTGCCAGCCGCTCTCCCCGAGCGCGCGCCGTTCCTTCGGGCGGCCGCGCGGGCGCCATGGCCGTCCAAGCGTATATGTTGGAGCACCGCGTCCATAACATTTCGTGGCACACCGTCCTTAATAACCATTCTTCCACGCGCCCGAAGGTGCACAGAGGGCCCGTGGTCAACTCCGTCAAGAACTGCAAGGAATTCGCTGCGCCAGGCCTTGCCAGTGCAGAGCGGCGGTGCACCCTGACTTCGCCGAGCAGCTTTGCAGCGGGAGATGGCAGTCGGGTTGAGGTTACAGGGAAAGGCGCAAGCAAAAACGAAGCGTCGGAGATCGCTTGCCTTCGAGCCGTCGCCTCGCTCATCAGCGAGTCTCCGAAGGATTTTCTGCTCCGACCTGGGCACTGGGCACTGGGCCTGACCCTCCGCACATCGCGAAGGCGTGGCATCTAGGGATGGCGCGCCGCACACAGGCCGAAGAGAGAAAACGGTCGACCTGCCGAGTAGCAGCTGCTCTCGCCCCGGTCAAGTACATATTCGTGGAGCACGACGCGGACTGGAAGCAGAAGCAGTGGGCGGACATGGCCACGGCGGACCAGGAGGATCCGAGGAGGGCCGATTGAGACATTGGGAGTTGGCCTGCGGGGAGGGGCCCGGTCGCCATGGCTGGGCGCAACTGGAAAAATATGTCAGATCGATTGTCTGGACATCCGGCGCCGTTTTCGCGCCGTCGCCCTTGTCGTGGTCGTCGGTCGTTGGTCGTTCCTGGACAGGGGTGCCGAGTGCAGATGCCTGGACCTCCGGCGCCGTTTTCGCGTCGTCGTCGTCGTCGTCGTCGGGTCGTCCGTCGTTGATCGTTGCTGGACCGGGGCGCCGAGTGAAAATTGTCTGCAGTTCACTTTTCCGTTCCAGTGTCTCAATCCGCTCTTCTCCGAGAGGAGGCGACCGAAGCGCGGCGCAAGGCGGAACCCCGGCCAGTCTTTGACAGCGCGGAGAAGCGAGGCGAGGAGTTTTTGATGGAAGAGGAGGAAAACATGAAGATCCAGGAGGCCATGGTGTCTTTCATCAGAAAAGATCTGAAGTGGACGCACCGCGAGCTGCGCGATTCCCTGCTGGAGGCTGAGGTGGCGGTGCCTGTCGTGCCTTCCATCCACAACTACATTTCCGTTCTCCACGCGCAGTACGGGGACGCCGATGCCGGCTTTCTCCCGCAGTCTTTCAAGTCCCACTCCAAGAAGAAGCTGCGGGCCATCCTTCGCATACTCGGCCGCGCGGGCCTCAAGCTCGGTGGGGGAATCGATGACCGGAAGCCAGTTCTGGCACAGCGACTGGCGCGCTGGCTCAACCGAGCCCTGGCGGCAGGTCGCCAGGTGCCCGGGGGGGCGCCGGGCAGCGATGGCGACAGCGTGGATGATCTGGGGGGGCGCCCACGGAAGCCGATCTTGCTGGAGCACACGGCAAGCGCGGTGGAGATCCCGCAGAATGCCGCTGTCACGGCAGAACAAGCGGAGAGCGCACTCGGCAGAACGTCGGCGACGGAGATCGACATTGATTACCCCGACGCCGTGGATGCAGACACATAGGAGGAAGAAGAGGCACTGGCGTGCCACCGCGTCAACCCGACCGGAGTGGATTACACGTGCATCGCTTGGCAGCCGGCGGCGCCAGGCATTGTCAGCGCAGCCGCAGTTGGCTGGCCAGCCACTCCACCTGCTCGCCCCTTGGAGCGGTCTGACTTCACGTGCT